TGAGCTATGATGCCATGGCACTCTACCCAGGGTGATAGAGTGAGACTCTGTCTCACAAAGAATGAAGCAAAATAAAAAACTCCACTACCAGTAGCTTATTTTTATGACAATATGTAAAATTTAGTGAGCAACTATAAGCTCAATTTATCCTTAAACTCTTTTCATAGATTTTTCTCATTTAATACTTGAAACTGTTACTCTCATTTTTCAGGTGACCAAATTGGAACACAGGTTAAGTAACTTGTTTAAGGTCATCCAGCTAATAAACGATGGAGCTTGGGTATAGGCTCTGACATTATGACTGTCAGAAAATTATGCCTTTATTCCTCCCTAGATTACTTTTCTAATCTAAAACATTAATGTTGGAATAGAACTTCTTCATATGTTATGTGTAAGGAGCTGGCCGGTTCTGCTGCCTTTCCAATTTGAGCTTCAAGCTTCATATTACGGAATAGTGACTCTCTTGTCAACATAAGGACCACTGGATGTGAATTTTCATTCTTGCCATCTCTGAGGTTATTTGCGTGTCTCCTGGTCATTCCTTCTGTTACCTCTCTTCCTCTTTGTAAGACCAGTATCTTAGTCGGTATGTTGGATTCCATCTTTTCCTGCCTTTGCCTCTTATCTGTTCTTTTTTTCCTCACCAGATGATTCAGTCTCTTCTCATGTCTCTACATGATACGTGTTCAGATCTTTTCCACTTTAAAATAGTTTCTCTTGCTGTGCATGTTTGGGTTGTATTCTGCCTTTCTTTGTTGTCTTGACCTCTCGGGGTTTAATTTCTCCTTTGTACTTCTATTTATTAACTCCTTAATTTATTGTAATCTGGCTTCTGCCATTTCTCTGAATTGCTTTGGAAAAGGTTACTTGTGATAGTCTCATTGTCAAATTCAGTGGCCTCTTCTTCATTTTTACATAGCGTTTGCCTTTTGACTGCTCGTATTTCTTTTTTTTGTTCTTGCGGTTTTTGGCCAGGGCTGGATTTGAACCCGCCACCTCTGGCATGTGGGGCTGGCGCCCTACTCCTTTGAGCCACAGGTGCCGCCCCACTGCTTGTATTTCTTATGTGTTGACTTTGTGTTTTTTCGTGTAGCCTTGCCTTCTGTGACATGATTTACCTTTTTTTATTACAAGTTTTGGTTTATTTTACAAAAAGAAATTACACCTTTTGATTAGTGTAAAATTTTCCTCTTATGTAGATAAGTTATTTAATGAGTTTCAGTGGTCTTCTGCCCTTTTTTCTAATTCCAACAATTTTTCTAATTCGTTTTATGTGGGAACATGGGTACTTGAATGGCAGTTTCAGGGTCAGGTTTAGAAGTGTTAATGGAGGTATCAATAAGTTGTGATTCTTTAAGGGGTGGGATATAGAGGTATATTTTTGAAGTAGGTAATCAGTATTTCATATAAGTTTACATTTGGAAAACAAAACAAGTTGTTTGGGTAATGTGAACTTCAGAAAGGAAACCCTGACAATACCTTGCCTATGACAATTATGCAAAAACTGAATTGAAAGGAATGGGGAATTATTTGAAACATGAAACATGTAGGGTTTCATGATCAAGAATTAAAATTTCAGTGTCTTAATAAGCTACTTTTGCTTAGCTCCCAAGTAAAATGACCTAGCATACCTAGCATTCTAAAGAGCAGCTGAAACTAACTAACCTTCCTTTTCTTTGTCTTTATATAAGTAAAAGAATCCAACTGAAGGAGTTAAGCCCATTCCCACATTCACCACATATTTGTGGGATATGTAGATAAGTTATTTGACCTCGCAAAATAGTACCTATCTCATTTTCTGCTGAGAAGATTTATACACACACACAGTTCAACCTAATGCTCTGTCTAGAAATGCAGTAACTATAGTTGTCCTTCTTTCAACAGAAAACTTGACTCTTTAATGTTCTACTTTTTTATATTCTAAGTCCTTTCACAAACATGCTTGTTCCATTTTAAGACCCTCTGTTGATTCTGTTTTCTTGTATTGGCTTCTTTCTCTTGCTGAATTCTAGTCATTTTTTTCTCTCTCAGATTTTTTGAAAATATTCTTTGCACTTTCACCGTTACCATTGCATGCTTTATCTTTTCTCTAGTTTTTTGCCTTTACTGTTTTCATGTTTAATTCTCTTTTCAGTCCACAGTAGTTGGGTTTTTGCTCCCACTCATTTCAGAAACTCCCTTCTTGAAGACCTTGAGACCTCATTTTTGCCGTGTCCAGTGAATAATTCTTTTCTTTTCTTCTGCCCTGAGTATGTTACTCATTTATTACTCTTTTTATTATATCCTATTTTGTAAGCCATCTCTAAACTGATTTATAAAGGTAGGAAATAAATATAAGTAACAAATTAAAAATCACCCGTGTTTTTCTTCCTGAAGCTTCAGTATTCTTTGGCTGCTTCTTCTAGGCCATATTTTTTTGAGTGAAATATTTTTTATTATTATCATTGATCATATAGACAAGTTTTTTTCAGCTTCACACTTCATGCTTAGTGTCATACAAATCTTAACCTCTTTATCTATCTCAGGATTTCACTGATTTCAGACCATTTATAGTTTGTCTATGTTGACAAAACCTAGTTGTTGTTTTTTTATTATCTGACTCAAAATGATCAGTTTTGTATTACAACTCTCATTGTACTGTCATATTATTTTTTGTTAATACTAATATATGTTTTGTTTTTTATTTTATTTTTAAATTTGTTTTTAATTTCAGATTAATATGAGGGTACAGATGTTTAGGTTATATTGTTTTCATTTTCTGACGTAAAGTTCAAGTTGTAGTTGAGCCCTTCACCCAGGGGCTGCTGAACACCCTCACGTTGTGCACATTAGGTGAGAACCTGCTGATCGCCTTGCCCCCTCCCCCGTGCTTTCTCCCTTTTCTCCCCTCCCCCTTGCTAAACTATACTCCTGTTTTTCTTTAGTATGGGCATGTAGTTCTTTATATTTTGGTTTCAGGTTTCATATTAGTATTGGGAACATTGGATACTTTTTTCCCCATTCTTGTGATACTTTACTAAAAAGAATATGTTTCATCTCCATCCAGGTAAACACACAAAAAGTAAAGTCTCCATCTTTTCTTACAGCTGAATAGTACCCCATGGTATACATAGACCACAGTTTGTTAATCTGTTCAGAGGTTGCTGGGCATTTGGGTTGCTTCCGTGTCTTGGCAGTTGTGAATTGAGTTGCTGTAAAATTCTAGTGCAGTGTCCTGTGGTAAAATGATTTTATTTTTTGTTGTGTAGATACCTAGTAATGGCATTGTGGGGTCAAATAGAAGGTCAACTTTTGGTTCTGTGAGAATTGTCCATAGTTCTTTCCATAAAGGTTGTATTAGCTTGCAGTCCTACCAGCAGTGCAAAAGTTGTTCCCTTCTTTCCACATACATGCCAGCATTTGCAGATTTGGGATTTTGTGATAAGGGCTATTCTCATTGGAGTTAGATGAAATCTCAGAGTGGGTTTTTTTTTTGAGACAGTTTTACTATGTCACCCTCAGTAGAGTGCAATGACATCACAGCTCACAGCAGCCTCAAACTTTTCGGCTTAAGCGATTCTCTTGCCTCAGTTCTTTTTTTTTTTGAGACAGAGTTTCACTATGTCACCCTCAGTAGAGTACTGTGGCATCACAGCTCACAGCAACCTCAAACTTTTCGGCTTAAGCGATTCTCTTGCCTCAGCCTCCCAAGTAGCTGGGACTACAGGCGCCTGCCACAATGCTACTGGGCTATTTTTTGTTGCATTTGTTATTGTTATTTAGCTGGCCCAGGCCAGGTTCGAACCCACCAGCCTCCGTGCATGGGGCCTGCACCGTGACCACTGAGCTTCAAAGTGGTTTTGATTTGCATTTCTCTGATGATTAGGGAGGGTGAGCATTTTTTCTTGTGTTTGTTGGTCATTCATGATCATTCATCTGTCATCATCAGGGAAGTTTCCATTTGTGACTCTTGCCCACTTACAAATGCATTATTTGCTCTTTTCTTATTGATTAATTTGAGTTCTCTGTAGATTCTGGTTATCAGCCTTTTGTCAGATTCATAGCATGCAAATATCTTCTCCCATTCTGAAGGCTCTGTTTGCTTTAGCTGTGGTACTCTTAGCTGTGCAGAAGCTTTTTAGCCTTGTGTCCCACTTATTTATTTTTGGTATTGCTGCACTTGTCAAGGGGGATCTTCATAAAATCTTTTCCCAGGCCAATTTCGTCAAGAGTTTTCTCCATACTTTTTCCTAGAATATTTATTATTTTGTGTCTTAAATTTAAATCTTACCCAGTGAGAGTCAGTTTATGTCAGTGGTGAGAGGTGCAGGTCCAGTTTTAGTCTTCCACATGTGGCTGACCCATTCTCCCAGCACTATTTATTAAATAGGGATTTTTTTCTCCAGTGAGAGAAATCTTTGGTTTATCAAAGATCAGATGGCAGTATGTTTTGAGGTTCATCTCTAGGTTCTCTATTCTATTCCATAGATCTATATCTCTGTTTTTGTGGCAGTACCATGCTGTTTTGATCTCTATCAACTTGTAGTGTAACCTGAAGCCTGGTAACATGATGCCTCCAGGTTTGTTTTGGTTGTTTGGAGGTTTCTCTGATTTCATCTTTGAAGTATGACGTTGGTGCTTTGATGAGGAATGCATTGAATCTATAGATTGCTTTGGGTGGTATGGACATTTTAACAATGTTGGTTCTTCCCAGCCATGAGCATGGTATGTTCTTCCATTTGTTAATGTCTTCCGATGTTTTTTCCCTTAGGATTTTGTAGTTCCCTTTATAGAGATCCTTTACATCCTTTGTTAGATATATTCCGAGGTATTTTAGTTTCTCTGGAGCTACTGTGAAAGATATTATGTCTTTAATTTGATTCTCAGCTAGACTGTTATTGGCATATATGAAGGCTGCTGGTTTGTGGATATTCATTTTATACCCTGATATTCCTCGATCACTTCTAAGAGCTTTGTAATTGAGTTCCTAGGGTTTTTCCAGGTATAAGATCATGTCATCCATTAAAAGTGAGGGTTTGACCTCCTGTCCCCATTTGAATACAGTTGATCTCCTTTACTTGTGTGATTCCATTGGCTAGGACTTCTGGGACTATGCTCAGTAGCAGTGGCGATAATGGGCATCGTTGTCTGGTTCCAGTTCTAAGTGGAAATGCTTTCAGTTTTACTCCATTAATATGGTATTGGCTGCGGGTTTGTTGTAAATCTCAGCCATATCTTTTATGTTTGCCACCATAACTTTCTGACCACTGTCTCTCTGTCTTTTTTTTGTTTCTTGTTATATCTGCCTTTTCCCCCTTGAAAAATGGAATTTTATTTTTTAAAGCGTTATGACAAATTTTAATGAAGTCTCCATTTACTCATCAAGATTCAAGTATCACTGAAACTCTGCCACATTAGCTTTTTCACCTTGCTGGAATATTTTTAATCACATCCCAGATGTCATGTCATTTCTTCCAATAAAAGTACAAGCCTCCTGTTTAAATAATGATATTCTATAGACTCTGTTTCTGATTTTCTTTTCTCATCGTCTTAAGAAGAACATACCATGGCTCATTCCTATTTTTTTTTTTTTTTAAGAGACAGAATCTCACTTTGTTGCCCTCGATAGAGTGCTGTAGCATCACAGCTCACAGCAACCTCTAGCTCTTGGGCTTAGGCAATTCTCTTGCCTCAGCCTCCCGAGTAGCTGGGACTACAGCCATTTTTTTGTTGCAGTTCAGCCCAGGGCCGGGTTGAACCTGCCAGCCTTAGTATATGGGGCTGGCACCCTACTGACTGAGCCACAGACACTACCCATCATTTCTGTGTTTTTGCATACTGTCTGCTCTTAACTCTAAGTCAGCATCTATACTTGTTGCTTACATCTGTGGGTAATTATTTACATTTTCCTGTTATATTTTTTTTCAGTCAGGTATTCTATAGTGACCAAAAATAATGTGTCTGAAATGCTCATCTCTTTTTCGCCTTTTTGCCTGGTTTCTCCTCCTTTTTAAAACCTCACTCTACCTTTACCTCACAGTTCTCTGGGTGGCCCTTTGAAGATTCTGGGCGTCTTTATCTTCTCCCTTTCTGAATATTCCTTTTTTTTTCCTTCAGTTTTTTACTGGGGCCGGACTTGAACCTGCCACCTTCAAGTATATTGGGCCGGCGCCCTACTCCTTTGCGCCACAGGTGCCACCCTGCATATTCCATTTTTAATCAGTCCCAAGTCTCATCAGTCTCTCTCTCTTACTTAGTATCTTTTTTTCACACCAGTCCTTTCCATTCCATTCCTGGATGTGTTGTTCTGGTTTAGGGCTTCATCGTCTTTCCAGCTTTGTCTCCCTAGTGTCTTGTCTTTTTTAAAAACAGACTTAATTCACTTTATTCTTGTATAAAAACCCTATGTTGTAGCCACAGCTGGAGCCTGGGTCCTTTGCACAGAGACTCTGGTGTGGGTCTTGACAAGATGGTCGGTGAATTCTTGGTAAGGAGACTTGGTGAACACTGTCTCTTTCCAGAGATCAGGAGTGAGATAGCTATAGGTCTTGGAAATGGCATCAAAAGTGGCCTTGGCAAAGTTGCCCAGGGTGGCAGTACAGCCCCTGGCTGAAGTGTAGCAGTCATCGGTCCTAGCCATCATTAGCAGCTTCTTAGGCACAGGCGCTGAGACAATGCCAATTCCTCTAGAAGCAGGGATGAGACTTACCAGCACAGAGCCACAGCAGCCTATCACCTTGCAAGGAACAGTGTGAGGCTTGCCGATCTTATTCCCCCCGTAGCCTCTCCACACTGGGGCAGTAGAGAGCTTGGCCAGGATGATGGCCCCTCGGATGGCAGTGGCTACTTCCTTGGAACACTTAACACCCAGGCCGACATGGCCATTGTAGTCCCCAATGGCAACAAATGCCTTGAACCTGGTCCTCTGGCCACTGGCCAGCGTGGGTCTGTTTTTGCACTGGCATAATCTTTAAAACCTCATCCCTGAGAGATGCACCCAGGAAAAAAATCAATGATCTCAGATTCCTTAATGGGCAGAGAGAAAAGATAGATCTCCTCCAGGGATTTGATCTTCGTGTCCTTGACCAGGCGGCCCAGCTTGGTGACGGACATCTACTCTTTGTCCTCGGCCTTGCCTCCGCAGCTCCGCGGCCTCGACCCCGACCCCGACCATGGCTGCGACCCCGGCCTCGAATGCCACTGCCGAAGCCTCCACAGAAACCACCACGGCCTCCCATTCCAGCCCCACCCCCCCAGCCGCCGCACCCCCGCTGCACCGGCATCATCCGCCATTTGGTGTTTTTGTCGGAAAAGAAGCGGTGTCTTCTCTTTGTAATTTAAACCTAGTATTTTTTCTGCTCAAAATCTCCCAGGTCTCTCGTATCATGATTAAAAAAGAAATTGAAGCTTTTAAAACCGATCATGTCTTCACAAATAATTTTTTGTTTTTCTCTTTTTAGCTATATCACTCCTCTGGTTCATGCCTGCCAAATAGTAGGCATATAATAAATGAATGAAAGAATGTGGGTATGCTGCTTAAATCTCTGCCTACATCTGTGAAAATATTATAACTGTTCCTTTACTGCTTAAGCTTGATATTATTAAGTACGCTTGGACTTAATACAATTGGGAGCATCAGGAGCCTTTTAATTAAAATACTGTATATTTAAAAAACTACTGTTTGAAAGAAGAGTATTGTGGTTTTTCCCTCTAGAAATGAAGAAAAATTGGTAGGGTCAAGCAAAATTTATATAATGTAGTATTACTATGTATGTGTCATTTTTCCTGACAATATTATCATTATTATCGTCATCATTTTAGTTCATGGGAAACTGCCATTCTAGTAGTATGATTTGTGGCACTATTTCTGGGACGGTACTTTTTATACACATATTAAGCCTGACACTTAACCTGTTTATTAAAAATACTTCTAATTTCCTTTTAGGACCAGTTTGGACAACATATAAAATCAGATGTGCACTTGAATTTTTACGTTTATTATGGTCCTGATCGTATTAGAGACTCAGCCTTACTTTCAAAACAGGATATTGTTTTGACTACATACAATATTTTAACTCATGACTATGGAGTAAGTATACTGATACTTAGAGATTTTTAAAGTTGAATTTAAGAAATATGCTCTAGTTTTCTAAAGTGTTCAAATGTTCAGACCATTCTTCCTTTTTTCTTTCTAAACACTTAATAGCACATAGAAAATAAGTAGGATTTTTTTTTTTTT